AAATATATAGGAAACTTACTAAATTAAATTAATTAATGTAAACAATTTTCTAAGCTTCTATGAAGCTTCCTTAGTTGGCAAAAATGGGTATAAATAGGGGGAGGACTAACTAAGTTGGGTTTGGAAAAATTAAGTTATTTAAACTCCAAAAGTTAAAAAGAAAAACTAATTTTGTAAAAAGAGCGAGTTTGGCCGAAAGTTAGAGGAGAGAAAAAAGAAAGAAAAATTATACAACTTAAGCCAAAACTTTACAAGAAGGATGTTAGGATCTTGGTGAGCAATTCAAATATTTTCAACACTAGCTAAACTTCAAGTAAGTATAATAAAACTCAACTACATCACAAGATATAGGTATTGTATGATTTATATGTTGATGTGCTTAATCAATGATTGACTATGTGTGATGGTTTGATTATTAGTTTAATTGATGATTAATCAATGTTTACGTAGTGCTTGATTAATGATTGATCATGGTTGATCATGAGGTCAATTGATGATTAAAAGATGAAATTAGCTTAAAACATGATTTGGAAATCTTAAGGATGTTGTATTCATGAAGTTAACGAATCACTACATGTTCGTTAGAATAATTGATAAATTCAGCTAAGTACAATTTAGAGATAATGGATTTAATATTCATACGTATATTGATAATCATGTTAGTTTAAGATTGTGTAAGTATTTGTTCATAATTTTATGTGGTATTTGAATGATTATGTACTTGTACTTGTTCTTGAGATTATTTTTGGGAGGTTTTAGCCAAATGATGATGTAATGTTCCTTTATGCTTGTTCATGTATTATGTTCATGTAATTGTTTGTTATATCATTAATTAGTGTTATACGGCAAATTGATGCTTATGCTCATGTTGTTGATAATTCGGCCAAGGACCATGTTTAAGACTACTTGGTTCTTTGATGATTGATTCTTGGTGTAATGCTTGGATGAATTTGGCTTAGGTCCATTATTAATGAGATTTAGTTTAATGTTTATGTACTCATTTGAAAGTTGTTTATTAAGATTCAGCCAACACAACTTGAAATGACTTAGTGATGTTTCTATGTGTTTAATGAATGATTATTCAATTGTTATGTTACATGATGTCATTGGTATATTATTGTTCATTGCTATAATGATAAATGTTTATGTGATTCATTGTAGGTGAATTCGACATACACATTTAATTAAAATTTATAGGTTATATATTATACTATTTGATTGCATTCACATCATCAAAATGTTTTCATCATGTTGCATGTATTTAAAGACAAAGATAAGTGCATGGTTTTTAAGAAAAATCACAACTAGACATGTTCAATCATGGTTCAAAAAAGAGAATGATTTGATGTATACTCTTTTGTGAACATCACGAGCTCTCTCTCTCACTCACTCACTCACTCTCTCTCTCTCTCTCTCTCTCTCTCTCTCTCTCTCTCTAATATATATATATATAGCATTAAAAACATTATTTGATTATATTATTTGGAAGAAAGTAATTTTAAAATATTTGAAATAAAAAATATTAACGATAAATGGTTAGTGTTATATGTATAAATCCATAGCTAATTTCTAATAAAATCGATGATTTAGATTTTTTTTTTAATGGGTTCGAGAATGTGCAGTATAAAACTAATAATGACTTGTTATTGGTGTTACGAACAAGGGCATAATAAAGTTTCTTGCCCGAGTTAGAAAGGCTCGGAGGTTCATTAGTTTCGAAGCATATAAGGAAGCATCGGAGGCCAATTGTAAGTTAACTCATTATTTTCTTTTGAAATAGTTTGTTTATATGCTTATTGTAAGTTAACTAATAATTTTTATTTTCAATTTGTATTAGATTAGGGCCGGGACAAATGGAGGTCAAAAATCGAGTACGACTCAAGGTTCAAGTGTTGTCCAATAAAGTTCGCTCAAGGTTCGGATGATGCAAGTGGCTGTGGCGGGGGTAAAGCTAATGATAGACAAGGAGATGGACTATATTATGGTGAATCTATTTAGAATGTGAGTTTTAAATACAAGTGCTATGAATTTTCATTGTAAAAGGTTGTTAAGTTAATGGTTTTGTACTTATTTTTTTTTTTTATGTTTTTTAGACTCAAGACAACAAAGGAATAAGCATACCTTCAAGTAGTTTCATCACTATAAATCGATTAATTGCAAAAACAAATATGTTGAAAAATAAAAGAAGAAAAAAAATTGCTACAAGTGAAGAAGAAGAAATTCAACCGATGCAATGTTAGCCAAACAAGAAATAGGAGGCCAATAATGCTCGCTAACAAACTTGGAACTCAAGAGTCTCAAGTGATATCCAAGTGAAGACCTTCTTGAACTTTGCATAAAGCTGGAACTTGGGAGATATTATGAAATTTTCCTTATTGTTATTTTGGATGTTAATAGCTAATATGTCATATATACAAGCTTGTTGTTATCTAGCCATAGGTTTAATTTTCGATGTTAGTATGTGTTCTTAAAATATGTCATCTATCCAGGCTTGTTGTTATCTTCCTATTAGTACATGTCATCTATCTAGACTTGTTATTATCTAGCCAAGGTTAATTACTACGGGCAAATTGATTGATGTACTTAAAATGCAATTTTCCCTTACTACTATATTTTTCTTTTTTATATATATCGGAAAAAGCTTATATAGCTCTCGGACATATCCATGCCACCCGTGATCGTTGCTCACCCTTCATTCTTGTTTATGCCCTTCATTCTTGTTTATGTTAGAGTGATAGTCATTCTTAGGGAATTGATCGAAAGAACGTTTTAGTGATCGAAATAACTTGGAACTCTTCCATCACCTCATCATGATAATATAGATATGGTTCACAAGTTGTTGAAGCCAGCACCTTCAAGCTAAATTGATACATTGATCGATGGCTCAATTGAGAAGATATGTACACCGTATCAAAGTACCGAGGACTCGCTTGTTTGTTTAGGCTTTGCATTTCTTAAGGATTTCTCTATTTGTCATGCCGAGGGTCGTAGGATAGTGAAAGACAAGTAAGATTTGATCATTTTCTAGACCAAAGCCATTTGCAACATTTGAAGGAACATCAATTCTCGGTTGTTAAAATATGAATGTTCATTCATAAATAACATAACTTCAATAAAGCGTTTTTTACAAACAAGTTATGGACATTGTTAACATTGCCCTAATAAACTACAATACTTGCCTACACGCCACCATTAGTCGTTGTTACAAATCAATTCTACCCACAAAATTTGCAACTAAATTTATCCAATCAACTTGATCAAAGAGAAGATAACACTAACAAACCTACAATTTACATCTCCAACCATTGCAGCAATTCAATTCCTCTCATCAACAACATTGAACAAAATAATAGAAATAAAAGCAATCCATGTCACTCGTAAGCCATAACTTCATTTTTTCGTTGTTTCTCGTGCTCCTTTCTAATTCATCTTCGGTTTGCTTGATTCTTCTTAATAAGCCGGGAATAATGACTCGCTTCTTTCATAAATTGGGGGATCAATCCATTGGAAAAAAACCACAACCACCTTCCTAGAAATGAACACATAATAATTACTTGTTAATGGTTAACACTCACGATGAAAGGCTGGAAATTAAAGAATGGAAGGAAAAGAAAGTTTACCCGAAACTTCTCACAAGAAATAAATCTCCTACCGGGATTTAGATTAGTCCAAGAAGTCCTCAACATAGCTCTGGCTTTGACAACCACAAATCATTTAGATTAGTATTGCATACGTCTTTTTTTGAACTTTGATTTTAGGGTTTAAAATGATAGAAATAAAGTAAGATAATATTTGGGTTTTAATTTTGATTTTAGGGTTGCAGATGACAAAAGGAGGAGAAGATCAAGTGAAGACAACATTTGGGTTTTTGAAGATGTAGAGAAATATAAAGGGAAGAAAGGAAAGAAATGAAAGAAAAGGAAGATGGGGAAAAAGAAAGGGGAAAATCATATTGTTTATAGATAGACCATAATGACGATGGAGCGAGAAGAAAAAACGAGGCCAAAACGTAATTTCATCTTTTTAGTTAACTACCAAGTCATCAAATGACGATAATTTGGATGAAAATACTTGATTGAATATTTTTAAAAAGTTGATATACTAAATTGAAAAAAAATAAGTTGTATATACTTAATTGATAAAATGTCCAAAATTGATACACTTCAAATGCAATTATCCCTTAAATAAGAATAAAAATAAATTTTTTATTTTTTTAATTTTAAACAAGTTATCATTACTTGTAGGTTTATTTTTTAATACAATCTGGTGGAAAAATAATAATTTTTTTTAAAAAAATTTTGGATTTAATTTCTATTTAGATTGTTACAAGTTTTTATTAAAAAATCAATGTGTATGAAAGAACAAATCATTTTTTTTTCAGTTGAAAAAAAAAAAAAGGAAACTTAAGAAAGAATTAACCAAATATAAGATCTTGATTTAAAGGTTATTAACTTTTTTTAAAAATTTACTTTTGATTCGATGTTGTTTTAGTAGACTTATAATATGATATAAGGTATCAAATTAAAATGATTTTATTTTACTCAACTCGTAGCTCAGCACAGACAACAAATTAATTTATTCTACGTAAAAGAAAAACACAAACACAAAAGAGAATTAAAAAATATATTTTTAAGACTAAATAGGATTCATATATGATTTTATTTTTCATATTTGTATTCTGTAGTCAATGAGTCTGTTTGTGTCTGTCTTTATTTCGTTGCTTGTTGAATATTCTAAAATCTCTGGAGATATCTTCTCATTTGTTTAAAGCATTTAACCTTTTTAAACTTCATTGTTTCATCTCTTAAAATGATTAGTGCTGTTTTTAACGTGAGAGGATGAATATTTGATGATGATGATGATGATGATAATAACAAAGCCTTGAACCCTTCTAAAACCCTAATCCTAAGTTTCTCTTCCAAACCCTTCAATTAACCCAAAAACTGCCATCCCCTCTCTTCCTTACTTCAACATCTTCACTAAACTCTCCATTTACCTAAATGGCATCAACACTATTCTCTTCACTTATAAACAGAACCCAAAATCTGGCAGCAAATGCAATCACGAGAAGATCATACAGCAAAAAAGTAACAACTCAAAGGAACAACCTTTATTCAAGAATCAGTCCACTTGGTGACCCGAGTATCAGTTTGGCTCCAGTGCTTGATCAGTGGGTTGAAGAGGGCAAAAAAGTTAAAGACTTTGAGCTTCGATCAATTGTTAAAGGCCTTCGTGCACGCAAACGATTTACACAAGCTCTTGAGGTTTGTAACTGAGTGACTGACTGGATTTTGATATAAGGTGATGCCTATGTTTGGTTGAAAAGAAATTTGAGGAAAAGAAGGAAATTATACTGTGGGTTTTGTGTTTGATTGTGTGTTGCTTTTTTTTTAAAAAAGGATAATTTTGATTGAATTTGGTGTTTGGTGTTGCTTTTCAGTTATGTCTATGGTTGTATATGCTAATGGGTAAATGTAGAGAAAAAATGAAAAATTTGCATGTGTTTTTTATGCTGTGTTGGGTTTATTTGATAGAATCAGGGAG